AGGAGGACGTTGCAAATTGAGCAATCTCCTACCCATCATATCCCACACGTGCTCAATTGGGGATAAGTCGGGAGATCTTGGTGGCCATGGTAACAATGTGACATCATTATGTTGAAAGAAGTCTATTGTGACTCTTGCAAAATGTGGTCGGGCATTATCTTGTTGGAAAGTTGGATCTGCCAGGGTGTCAAGATAGGGTAAAAGATCGGGTTCTAGAACTTCGTGGATATAACGCTGCGCGTTCATGTTACCTCTGATGAAGATTAAAGGTGACCTGGAACCATAAGCTATAGCACCCCAAACCATAACTCCAACAGTGTGATGCACATGTCTTTCAACAAAAAACTGTGGATTCCTCCTTTCACCACGTCGCCTTCTAACCCTGGCACGACCATCGTGCATGCCTAAACAAAATCGAGACCCGTCACTAAAGACAATACTGTTCCATTCCTGATCCCAGAGTGACCGTTGTCTGCACCACTCAAGGCGATTACGTCGGTGTTCTCAAGCTACAACGAGGACCCAGTGTGGCCGGTATGAAAACAAGCCAAAACTTCTCATTCGTCGGTAAACACTTCGCATGCCAATAGGTCTTCCGTGTTCTGCAAACCATTCATTTGCAATGGACCTGGTAGTGGAGAAACGGTCCCTTCACGGTCTGTTGTCCAGAGCCCCTTGCTCTTTCCGTACAGCCTTCTCAAAGCCATGCCTGACAACACCTAACCACAGTGTCTACACTTCTTTTCACTCTAACTGCAATTGCCCGAAAAGAAAGTCCAGCTTCCCGAAGTCTCACTATACGGCTCCTATCAAACTCACTAAGTTGACGAAATCGTACACGTCTCCGTACTCTAGGCATCGTAACCGATCGTAAAGGATGTCAAGAACCAAAATCCGCCAACGTTGATCCTTTACTGCGGCTGAAATATTCATTTTTAGAGCGTTAGTGAATAAAAAAAAGCGGTATAAAAACCGGAATGTCCAACTGATAGCGCTGAAAATTTTTTCACTTGTTATTTACAGTAAGATAAATACATGCACCAACTTTTATTAAAATAAAACCATTTAAACTGGGTGTTCGGATTTATATGTCACTTAGTATATATCCAAAATATTTGTTTTAGTGATGAATGTACATTTTTTCAACGGTAATGTGCATAGCCAAAATTGTCGTTATTGGAGTGACACCAATCCTCACGTCTTCCGGGAAACTCAGACTCAATACCCACAAAAAATTAACGTTTGGGCTGGAATATTGGGAAATCATATTGTCGGGCCTCTATTCATCGAACAAACTTTAACCGGGGTACTGTATTTAGATATGCTGGAAAATACTATTGATCCTCTAATCACCGTAATCGTCGAAGCGAGTCCTAATGAATCCGATACTGATATTGTAATCCAGCAAGATGGTGCTCCACTACACTACTACAGACAAGTTAGGAATTATTTAGACAGCAATTTCCCCGGTAGTTGGATTGGCCGTCGAGGTCCTGTTGAATGGCCAGCTCGCACGCCAGATTTGACACCTTTAGACTCTTTTTTATGGGGCTATTTGAAGCAAAAGGTGTACGAAACTGAACCGGCTTCAATATTGGATATACGGCCGAGAATAACAAATATTTGCAGAAATATCGATGTTACTAGGTTTGAAAATGTTCGACGCGAAATTACGGACCGGCTGTTATTGTGTCAAGAAGATCAAGGCAACCATTTCCAGCATCTTCTAAACTGAACTCAACGTATTTATTCGAATTATCTATGAATTTAGGTAATATTAAATGTACCACCATTTTGTAGTAGGTAAACGTATTGGCTTTATATTCTAGGGATATAAAGTACTCGACAGGAGCTTTAAAATGATGTGCCACAAGACCACCGTTTTCATATATTTTTTTCAAGATTGTGACAAGTTTTAATTTAGTTTGAAATGATCCGTTCAAAAAATCAAAGGGGAGGGGGACATTAAAGAAAAGCACTGTATATGATCTAAGAGTGTTTTACAAATGATCTTGCAACATGCAATGCCGTGTAAGGTATACTGTACAATCGTTCTTGCAACCCTAATAGTTGTTAGTTTGTCAATCTACTTGACGTCATTATCTTAAAATGTATTCTTCCTTTATGGGTCTTAACGTCTCTACAATTCAGATCCAGCAAGACGGTTTGAAAACCAAACAAAAAAAAAACACATGACACTCGTTGCTTAAGAACCGGTACCCCTTGATAGTCTAATCATATTAAACAAAAATACCCCTGGTTTGCGAAATAATTGTAAAGTCTGGTTTTAGTGATTCAACTTGTTCAACGGGGTGTTTAAATCATGGACGCATAAAATGGGTACACCAATTTTTGTGGGAAAACCTTTTATTCGACAACAAAGAATGAGAAAACGTGTTTTTTGGGATTCAATCGAAAGTGTTGGCAGGAACGAAAAACCCTGCTAATAAGATTTTTAGGTATTTATGAGACCCACAGAATGAAACTACACGTAAAAAGATCCGACTAATAGTAAAAAAGTTATGGCCGAAAAGCGAGGCAAGATGCAGGTTTTGGCACTTGCTGGTAATTCATAGGCTTCATACTTCTCAATAACGAGAACAAAATTTGAGTCGATTGGTCAAGTAGTTTTTGAGAGTTTCTAATTGTTTATCGCCTTCGTTTTTCGCATAAAAATAACAATTATCTTTCGGGATGGTTCGCGATCCAAGTCCGCAAGGTAAACTCGTCTATACTAAGTGACATATAAATCCGAACACCCAGTTTAAATGGTTTTATTTTAATAAAATTTTGTACAAGTACTTAATGAAGCATAATAAGTAAATGATAAAAATTTCAAAATGATTGCACTGCTTTGAAGCCCTTGGACCTTTAATAATGTGTGGATGCACCCTGATGTGCTACGCATTCTCCAACGCGCCTAGGCATGCTTCTGATCAGGTGGTCAATGTCCTCCTGTGGTATCTCATTCCAGGCAACCACCAACTCCTCTCGAAGTGCTTCTAGAGTCTGAGGAGGACCTTGCAAATTGAGCAATCTCCTACCCATCATATCCCACACGTGCTCAATTGGGGATAAGTCGGGAGATCTTGGTGGCCATGGTAACAATGTGACATCATTATGTTGAAAGAAGTCTATTGTGACTCTTACAACATGTGGTCGGGCATTATCTTGTTGGAAAGTTGGATCTGCCAGGGTGTCAAGATAGGGTAAAAGATGGGGTTCTAGAACTTCGTGGATATAACGCTGCGCGTTCATAGTACCTCTGATGAAGATTAAAGGTGACCTGGAATCATAAGCTATAGCACCCCAAACCATAACTTCAACAGTGTGATGAGCATGTCTTTCAACAAAAAACTGTGGATTCCTCCTTTCACCACGTCGCCTTCTAACCCTGGCACGACCATCGTGCATGCCTAAACAAAATCGAGACTCGTCACTAAAGACAATACTGTTCCATTCCTGATCCCAGAGTGACCGTTGTCTGCACCACTCAAGGCGATTACGTCGGTGTTCTCGAGTTAAAGGGAGGACCCAGTGTGGCCGGTGTGAAAACAAGCCAAAACTTCTCATTCGTCGGTAAACACTTCGCATGCCAATAGGTCTTCCGTGTTCTGCAAACCATTCATTTGCACCTGGTAGTGGAGAAACGGTTCCTTAAGGCCAATAATCTTAGGCGGCGATTGTCACGGTCTGTTGTTCGACGGCAGCGTTCAGTGCCCCTTGCTCTTTGCGTACAGCCTTCTCGAAGCCATGCCTGACAACACCTAACCACAGTGTCTACACTTCTTTGCACTCTAACTGCAATTGCCCGAAAAGAAAGTCCAGCTTCCCGAAGTCCCACTATACGGCCCCTATCAAACTCACTAAGTTGACGAAATCGTACAGGTCTCCGTACTCTAGGCATCGTAACCGATCGTAAAGGATGTCAAGAACCAAAATCCGCCAACGTTGATTCTTTACTGCGGCTGAAATATTCATTTTTAGAGCCTTAGTGAATTAAAAAAAAAACAGTATAAAAACCGGAATGTCCAACTGATAAGGCTGAAAATTTTTTCACTTCTTATTCACAGTAAGATAAATACATTCACCAACTTTTATTAAAATAAAACCATTTAAACTGGGTGTTCGAATTTATATGTCACTTAGTATATTTCGCTATAAAATGCCATTTGAATGAACCTTGCTCAGTAAACTAGTAGTGATGGCCGGAAGATGATAAACAATTAGAAATTCTCAAAAACTACTTGAACAATCGTCTACAATTTGGTTGTGGTTATTTAGAAGTCTGAATCCTTCGGATTTGAAGAATTTCAAGTAGCTGCGTGAAATTATCGTCGTATTAACAACAATAGCCATAACCTGCATTTTGCCTCGGTTTTCGGCCATACCTTTTTTACCATTAGTTTGATCTTTTTACGTGTGGTATCATTCTGTAGGCCTCATAAAGCTAAAAATCTTATTCAAAGAGTTTTTTGGTTGCTGACAACACTTTGATTGAATCCCAAAAAGCACGTTTTCTTTGATGTCAAATAAAAAGATTTTCCACAAAAATTGGTGTACCCATTTTATGCGTCCATGTTTCTAATCCCTCTTGAACAACTTGTATCAATAAAACCAGACTTTACAATTATTTCGGGAAAATTTGCTAATATGATTAGACTATAAGGTAAATGTTAACCCCCCCCTCCCAATGGACGCCCATGCATCTGGATTGCTGCTTCCAATATGATTCGCGTAATGCGTACGTTTATAAAAAGATGTCCTTACATATTTGGAACAGCTCATCAATGGGAAACGTTTAATGAACTTTTGGCAATAAAAATTCAATTTCTATGACGATAATATTTAATGAACGTAAGTACGTCATTAGTATTTTTTATATGACAGCATTCCTTGCAAAGATAGTTGTTGATAAAGATGAGATGTGGTTACATCGTAGGAAGAGTGTTATTCAGTATGCGAGTACTATAAAATTAACTTTGGTTTTTCTCTTCCAGTACTTCCAGAAGAACAGTAGGGTACAGGATGTAAACAAAAGACTAAAATCTCAAATATGGAGCTCCGTAGTGACTATAGTTTTAGTTGAAGGGAAGAATCTCTTGCCATGTGATCCAGAGACTGGGACGTCAGATCCGTACGTCAAATTTAGGTAGGTCTCAGATTTAGCTCGTAAATAATAGTGTTAATTTTTATGAAACTCTCAAAAGTGGTCATTTAGGCCCGATTTTATTTGTTTGTTTAAGATTTATTTATTGCTACAATTACATTCTTCTAAAAAACTAAACAATTACATAACATACAGATATTTAGAAAAAAAACAAAATTTACATCTCTGACAGTTTTCACTGTCCATGAAATATTCCTTTAATTTGTTTTAAGCAACTTTAAATTACAATTATACTAAGTGACATATAAATCCGAACACCCAGTTTAAATGGTTTTATTTTAATAAAATTTTGTATAAGTACTTAATGAAGCATAATAAGTAAATTATAAAAATTTCAAAATGATTGCACTGCTTTAAAGCCCTTTGACCTTTAATAATGTGTGGATGCACCCTGATGTGCTACGCATTCTCCAACGCGCCTAGGCATGCTTCTGATCAGGTGGTCAATGTCCTCCTGTGGTATCTCATTCCAGGCAACCACCAACTCCTCTCGAAGTGCTTCTAGAGTCTGAGGAGGACGTTGCAAATTGAGCAATCTCCTACCCATCATATCCCACACGTGCTCAATTGGGGATAAGTCGGGAGATCTTGGGGGCCATGGTAACAATGTGACATCATTATGTTGAAAGAAGTCTATTGTGACTCTTGCAACATGTGGTCGGGCATTATCTTGTTGGAAAGTTGGATCTGCCAGGGTGTCAAGATAGGGTAAAAGATGGGGTTCTAGAACTTCGTGGATATAACGCTGCGCGTTCATGTTACCTCTGATGAAGATTAAAGGTGACCTGGAACCATAAGCTATAGCACCCCAAACTATAACTCTAACAGTGTGATGAACATGTCTTTCAACAAAAAACTGTGGATTCCTCCTTTCACCAAGTCGCCTTCTAACCCTGGCACGACCATCGTGCATGCCTAAGCAAAATCGAGACTCGTCACTAAAGACAATACTGTTCCATTCCTGATCCCAGAGTGACCGTTGTCTGCACCACTCAAGGCGATTACGTCGGTGTTCTCGAGTTAAAGGGAGGACCCAGTGTGGCCGGTATGAAAACAAGCCAAAACTTCTCATTCGTCGGTAAACATTTCGCATGCCAATAGGTCTTCCGTGTTCTGCAAACCATTCATTTGCAATGGACCTGGTAGTAGAGAAACGGTCCCTTAGGGCCAATAATCTTAGGCGGCGATCTTCACGGTCTGTTGTTCTACGGCGGCGTCCAGTGCCCCTTGCTCTTTGCGTACGGCCTTCTCGAAGCCATGCCTGACAACACCTAACCACAGTGTCTACACTTCTTTGCACTCTAACTGCAATTGCCCGAAAAGAAAGTCCAGCTTCCCGAAGTCCCACTATACGGCCCCTATCAAACTCACTAAGTTGACGAAATCGTACAGGTCTCCATACTCTAGGCATCGTAACCGATCGTAAAGGATGTCAAGAACCAAAATCCGCCAACGTTGATTCTTTACTGCGGCTGAAATATTCATTTTTAGAGCGTTAGTGAATTAAAAAAAAGCAGTATAAAAACCGGAATGTCCAACTGATACGGCTGAACATTTTTTCACTTGTTATTTACAGTAAGATAAATACATTCACCAACTTTTGTTAAAATAAAACCATTTAAACTGGGTGTTCGGATTTATATGTCACTTATTATATTTAGCTGATTAAATTCAAGTAATCTTTTCTGAAATATAGATTTGCTAGTTATATTACTATTGCAATTCTGTAAATGAAAATATATATTTCCTCTTGTATAATAATTGTGGTAATGATTAATCAATTCTATCTAGTGTCCTAAATGTTGTGGCAAAAAATTAATTTTTATTTTGAATATGAAAATAAGAACCAAATATGATATGAAATTTTTTATATTCAACCCGTGAATTCTTGTAACATAGATTTCATTTTGGTGTACTTATTATTATTCAATATTATTCTCATAGCTCTATTTTGCAAGAAGACTTGTGATTTTGAGAATACAGCTTCATTTGACTAACAGGAGATCAATTTTTTGATCCGGTCATAATGGACCAACGAGAATTCATCTTTCTAGTAGTGGAAATAACGAATATACGAGTAGTCGATCTTTTATAAAAAATTTCTCAAACTAGCAAAGAAATATACGATTTATGTAAAAAGTGGTCTCTAAATGAATAAATTCTTTATAAAGCACCTGGTTCAGCTACAAACACGTTTTCCGCTTGATTCGGAGATAAAAAGCTATAATTCGAATCAACAATGACAAATTAGAAAACCTTTCGGTGGAGCAGCAGCGAAAATTGGCCAATCGGAAACAAGTATCATAAACCCTCCTTGTAGATGATAGAACCAAATTCAAAACACCTGAGGAAATTGAAAAAAAGGATATGTCAGTTGTCAATTCAATTAGGTGTAGATTTCAACAGCTCCTTAATTATCTTCCATTATTACTTGTTTTTGCTGCTATACTTGATCCGCATGTCGTCCTTCAAGATAAATGTTTCTGGGTTATAATTATTTTAAACATCTTCAACTGGCTTAAACGAATATATACTAAGTGACATATAAATCCGAACACCCAGTTTAAATGGTTTTATTTTATTAAAAGTTGATGAATGTATTTATCTTACTGTAGATAACAAGTGAACAAATTTTCAGCCTTATCAGTTGGACATTCCGGTTTTTATACTGCTTTTTTTATTCACTAAAATTCTTGATATCCTTTACGATCGGTTACGATGCCTGTACGATTTCGTCAACTTAGTGAGTTTGATATTGTCCGTATAGTGGGACTTCGGGAAGCTGGACTTTCTTTTCGGGCAATTGCAGTTAGAGTGCAAAGAGGTGTAGACACTGTGGTTAGGTGTTGTTGCATGGCTTCGAGAAGGCCGTACGCAAAGAGCAAGGGGCACTGGACGCCGCCGTAGAACAACAGACCGTGAAGATCGCCGCCTAAGATTATTGGCCTTAAGGGACCGTTTCTCCACTACCAGGTCCATTGCAAATGAATGGTTTGCAGAAGACGGAAGACCTATTGGCATGCGAAGTGTTTGCCGACGAATGAGAAGTTTTGGCTTGTTTTCATACCGGCCACACTGGGTCCTCCCTTTAACTCGAGAACACCGATGTAATCGCCTTGAGTGGTGCAGACAACGGTCACTCTGGGATCAGGAATGGAACAGTATTGTCTTTAGTGACGAGTCTCGATTTTGTTTAGGCATGCACGATGGTCGTGCCAGGGTTAGAAGGCGACGTGGTGAAAGGAGGAATCCACAGTTTTTTGTTGAAAGACATGTTCATCACACTGTTGGAGTTATGGTTTGGGATGCTATAGCTTATGGTTCCAGGTCACCTTTAATCTTCATCAGAGGTAACATGAACGCGTAGCGTTATATCCACGAAGTTCTAGAACCCCATCTTTTACCCTATCTTGACACCCTGGCTGATCCAACTTTCCAACAAGATAATGCCCGACCACATGTTGCAAAAGTCACAATAGACTTCTTTCAACATAATGATGTCACATTGTTACCATGGCCACCAAGATCTCCCGACTTATCCCCAATTGAGCACGTGTGGGATATGATGGGTAGGAGATTGCTCAATTTGCAACGTCCTCCTCAGACTCTAGAAGCACTTCGAGAGGAGTTGGTGGTTGCCTGGAGTGAGATACCACAGGAGGACATTGACTACCTGATCAGAAGCACGCCTAGGCGCGTTGGAGAATGCGTAGCACATCAGGGTGCATCCCTACATTATTAAAGGTCAAAGGGCTTTAAAGCAGTGCAATCATTTTGAAATTTTTATCATTTACTTATTATGCTTCATTAAGTACTTATACAAAATTTTATTAAAATAAAACCATTTAAACTGGGTGTTCGGATTTATATGTCACTTAGTATACTTTGATACGCAGCTGTCGAAGATTCATCATATACAATGTGTTTGGTCACGATATTTAAGGGGGGTTTTTATCGACAAATCTACCTCCCTCCAATGTCTTACCTGACCCCTCTTGAAATGGCAGCCATTTGTATTTTTACGTTACGATTACGCTAGTGCATGTATAAAAATTGTAATAACGCATAAGTTTCACACCACGATAAATTTGGTGACATTTGAACGATAACATGTTGTTCTAGTGATTATTGAAAAACTTGTATTGATACCAACCGTTAAACATACTTAAAAACAGAAAAAAATATGCAAGAAACTTGATTATTTTGTGCATTGTTTCACACCATTCAAAAACAAGTCTGTGAAGTTGTACTTTTTTGTAATAATTCCACAGCTAACTATACTAAGTGACATATAAATCCGAACACCCAGTTTAAATGGTTTTATTTTAATAAAAGTTGGTGAATGTATTTATCTTACTGTAAATAACAAGTGAACAAATTTTCAGCCTTATCAGTTGGACATTCCGGTTTTTATACTGCTTTCTTTTAATTCACTAACGCTCTAAAAATGAATATTTCAGCCGCAGTAAAGAACCAACGTTGGCGGATTTTGGTTCTTGACATCCTTTACGATCGGTTACGATGCCTAGAGTACGGAGACCTGTACGATTTTGTCAACTTAGTGAGTTTGATAGGGGCCGTATAGTGGGACTTCGGGAAGCTGGACTTTCTCTTCGGGCAATTGCAGTTAGAGTGCAAAGAAGTGTAGACACTGTGGTTAGGTGTTGTCAGGCATGGCTTCGAGAAGGCCGTACGCAAAGAGCAAGGGGCACTGGACGCCGCCGTAGAACAACAGACCGTGCAGATCGCCGCCTAAGATTATTGGCGTTAAGGGACCGTTTCTCCACTACCAGGTCCATTGCAAATGAATGGTTTGCAGAACACTGAAGATCTATTGGCATGCGAAGTGTTTACCGACGAATGAGAAGTTTTGGTTTGTTTTCATACCGGCCACACTTGGTCCTCCCTTTAACTCGAGATCACCGACGTAATCGCCTTGAGTGGTGCAGACAACGGTCACTCTGGGATCAGGAATGGAACAGTATTGTCTTTAGTGACGAGTCTCGATTTTGTTTAGGCATGCACGATGGTCGTGCCAGGGTTAGAAGGCGACGTGGTGGAAGGAGGAATCCACAGTTTTTTGTTGAAAGACATGTTCATCACACTGTAGGAGTTATGGTTTGGGGTGCTATAGCTTATGGTTCCAGGTCACCTTTAATCTTCATCAGAGGTAACACGAATGTGCAGCGTTATATCCACGAAGTTCTAGAACCCCATCTTTTACCCTATCTTGACACCCTGGCAGATCCAACTTTCCAACAAGATAATCCCCGACCACATGTTGCGAGAGTCACAATAGACTTCTTTCAACATAATGATGTCACATTGTTACCATGGCCACCAAGATCTCCCGACTTATCCCCAATTGAGCACGTGTGGGATATGATGGGTAGGAGATTGCTCAATTTGCAACGTCCCCCTCAGACTCTAGAAGCAATTCGAGGGGAGTTGGTGGTTGCCTGGAATGAGATACCACAGGAAGACATTGACCACCTGATCGGAAGCATGCCTAGGGGCGTTGGAGAATGCGTAGCACATCAGGGTGCATCCACACATTATTAAAGGTCTTTGAAGCAGTGCAATCATTTTGAAATTTTTATCATTTACTTATTATGCTTCATTAAGTACTTATACAAAATTTTATTAAAATAAAACCATTTAAACTGGGTGTTCGGATTTATATGTCACTTAGTATATGTTATCTGCAAAATGACACCAGATTTTGTTACCCTATGCTAGTTATTTTAAGTACAAATGTTGCTTAAACATGACCCTTGCGCGAGGCGTCCCGATCCAGGTAGCGGACCAGACCTCACATTCCTGGTATACAGATGAATGTATTGATAGTGTGAGTAAGGCAACATCTATACAGGAAGATCTCGTTATCGATATAGGAACAGCCGCTTATTTGTTGTCAACGTCATAGCGAGTCTTTTGTAGTCCCTTGCCACGCGTTGTGATCACCCGTTCATTTTGTTACCATTGCTAACTAGTTTCAATATCAATTTTCTGAAAGTATTTGAGTCGGAAGTGACCTCAGTGTCTAACATGCCAAATCGTCCACGCAATAAATTTTCAAATCACTATGTTGCTGATATGATGTTTGTTTACGGCAATTTGCATTTTATTACACGCATTTTGAGCCATGTTAGATAGCATTTATTTCTTAAAGTAGAAGACTTAGGATAACAAGTTTGGCATCATTTTGTAGATAACATAGTTAGCTGTAGAATCAGCACAAAAAAGTACAACTTCACAGACTAGTTTTTGAATGATGTGCAACAATGCACAAAATAATCAATTTTCTTGCATATTTTTTTTCTGCTTTTAAGTATGTTTCACGGTTAGTATCAATACAAGTTTTAATAATCTCTAGAACAACATGTTATCGTTCAAATATCACCAAATTTATCGTTCTGTGAAACTTATGTATCCAGTTATTACAATTTTCATACATGCACTAGCGTAATCGTAACGTAAAAATAAAAATCGCTGTCATTTCAAGAGGGGTGAGGTAGGACATTGTAGGGGGGTGGATTTGTCGATAAAAATAGCTGAAAATACCCCCTCAAATATCGGTATGTCGTGACCAGACACATTGTATAAGGGAACCTGCCTAATCACGATTTCGCCTTTTCAAACGATTCGACTCATCCCTTTTCTTTGATACCTCCAGCGAAGGCATAGGAATTGTAGTCAATCTACTGGACTCCAATTTTTCAGTGTTCGCTGCGGGTAATTATATCCAATATTTATTTCTTCCCTAGGTTAGGTAATGAAAAATATAAGAGTAGAGTAGTGTGGCGATCACTGAATCCGAGATGGTTAGAACAACTCGACCTCCATCTTTACGACGATGGGGACCAACAGCTAGAAATCACCGTATGGGACAAGGATAGATCCAGGGACGACTTCATAGGAAGGTAGGCCATAGTACGAAGTCTAATTTTATATAAGTTTTTTGCTCTCTCAGAATGCATTCTGTCGAAACCTATTTGTATGTTAACGGGGCTCCTACAATCACGAGCACCATCTGCTGAGGTAACGGGGGACGTAAAACGGCTTTAAAATCAAGGAGTATCAGCGATAGCGATTATGAGTAGGTACCTATTTACAGAACGACTTATCTACGCGATATTATATGAAATAGGGCCACCAAATTATCTGAATACGTCCTTTCTTAGTCCGTACATTGCGCCGCAACGCTTGGGTTTTGGCAGCACGAAACAGTAGACAAAATTCGCCCAAAATACGATTTGTAGAGGTTTGCGCGCTTCGAAATTGACGCTTTATTTTTTGATATTTTATTTTCTTGATTTGGGTAAATATCATATTAAAAAAGCCTTTTGTAATTTCACTGATATTAGTCAGAGGGCTGTAATGTCAAGTATCTCCGAGGAAATACCTGTTAAACGAGTGGTACCACAGGGTTCCATTCTGGGAGCATTATTGTTGTCAATTTACATTTCTGACGAGTACGTTGAATCATCATTATGCTGACAATATTCAATTCTACTTTGGCTTTTGTATTAAAGCATTAAAAAGTGCTGAATATTTGATTTATAATGACTTAATGAATTCATCTAACGTATCTTGTGTCCATAATTTCAAATTTAACCCGTTAAAATCATCCACAGCTATATTTGATGATAGTTACTCCGGAAGTAGACACCATAACTTTCTCGTTTTAAATATTTCACCCTGCATACCATTCAATTTTTTGATTCTATGTAGGACCCAAAACACATTTCATGCATATCATCCAGTAGCTAGGCTACACGTTTTTCTCATATTTTGTGTAACGATGATAAATAATCAATTTTCCTTTATTTGTGTGATTATTATGCGATCAGTTTCCTTATAGGATGGGACTTATTATAGTAAATTGTATTTATTATCTAAATAAATGCAGGACGGTCAAAAGGAGAATGAAAATCAAGCTTCTAAAACCCAGATATTCATTTTTTTCTTATCAAGTCACTTGTTTATACAGGGTGTCCGCAAAGTTGGGGTTTTCCTTTACACGACGTGTAGATCTTAAAAGCATAAGCAGTTTTTCTTAGTACCGTATACACCAATGTCTTAAGGGAACCGAGATAAGGGCTCTGCAACATCAAAAATATCTGAATACCGTCCCGTAGCCGCGACATCCCCGAGTGGTACTAGGACACTAGCTCAACCCGACGACAGAACTGGGTCGGGGTCAGTGTGTCAGGTCAGTATGCAATCTTCAACCGACGGTTACGGTCACGCGTGTAGAGGTAATCGCGTAGACGAGAATCCCTCAACAAGCACTAAAGACGTGGCTAGAGAAGTGCAAGTATCAAAAACTAAAGTGTGGCAAACGCTGCGAGAAGAGGGGCTGTATCCGTTTCACGTCCAATGTGTACAAGCCCTTCAACCTGACGATTTTCCAGCAAGAGTGCGGTTTTGCGAGTGGTTGTTGCATCAACATGACAATAATCCGGACTTTTTGGAGTGCATATTGGTGACAGACGAATCTACGTTCACGCGTAATGGGGTGAATAACTTTCGCAACACTCATGTTTGTTCAGTAGAAAATCCGCACGCTGTCCATCGGGCACATTTTCAACAAACATTTTCGGTGAATGTTTGGGCTGGCATGGTTAACGGTATGCTCATTGGACCATTTATTCTCCCAAATCGATTGGACGGGATGCAATACCTAGACTTTTTACGCAACATTTTGCCTTCCTTGTTGGCCTGCGTCTGCTCGGTAGCGCATCAGCTGATTTCATTTTCTGTTGGAGCGGTATGATTTCGGGCAGAGACGTACTTAGCCTTTCTCGTCAACTGGAGAGTGAGAGTACTTTTTCCTTTATTTTTTTTTAGTTGGTCGCCCTCGTTTCACTACACATTACCTTTGTTATTTCAAGGGTAGTTGTTTCTGAAAAGGAAAACTCCAACTTTGCGGACACCCTGTATAATTTATCCATCTATATTTCAATTGTGTTACGACGCGTTTAGAAAGAACGCTTTTTCTGTTGCAGTAATGAACCATATCGCTCTTAACGACTTAATCTCAGTTGGTCATAGCTTATAGTATTTAGTATTGTAGAACTAAATTTTCCAGGATTTCACCGCATTTGTGAATACATTATTGGATAGTATATGAACGCTTGACGAATTTTTATAGGCATAAACCCATAAGAGGGGTGCTCTTGTCGCTCGAAATTAACAAAGCTCCTCGTCCGGACTCGATTCCTGCCTTTGTATTGAAGACGTGTGCAGCGCAGCTTGCTTCAGTTCTTTCGCGTCTCTTCCATATATTTTACGAATCCGGATCTTTCCCAGAAAACTGGAAATTTGCTCATGTCCAATCCATCCCAAAAAAGGGATCCATCCTTACAACTGCAGGCCTATAGCTCTGCTTTCTGTTATAAGTAATCTGATGGGGACGTGCATATATCGCGAGCTTCTGGACTACGTCGAATGACGCGGCAGTATGGTTTCTGGCACCAGCAATCCATAGAGAGCCTCCTAGCTTAAGTCACGCAGTTGTGGAGTAAACTCATCTAGTCTTATGATGAGGCTCATGTCGCTGCTCTTGGTATCACGAAAGCGTTGGATCAGCTGTGGCACGCTTCCCTCTTAAGCAAACTTCTATCTTATGGTCTCCCAGAGAAGCGTTGCAGATAGATGGCTGACAGATTGGCCGTGAAATATCCATCGTAATAGATGGGTTCTCGTCTTCGTCGCACGATGTCAACGCGGGTGTACCGCAGGGATCAGTCTTGGTTCCGACACTGTTCCGATTACATATCAACGACCCCCTTTTCTGAACAATCAACCCAATCCACAGCTTTTCTGACGACAGCTGGAAGGAAGACTAGCGGCGACTTCTCTGACGAAAGGCTTGGGGACGCAACAATCTTGTATAGCTTAATGCTTCCAAAACACAGTACTGTACTGTGACGGACAAGGAGCATCCTAGCGCTCATCCAGTTCATTTAGACTGGCTGGAGTCCAGATCACCGAGGACTCGATCTGGCACCAAGACATCCCGTCAATAGCTTGAGCTGCTAGGTAATACTTAGGCTATTTCTTTAGAGCTAAGAAGTACTTTTCTCCACATGACCTCCGCACTCTATACGAAACCCAGATAAGACCTAGTCTCGAGTATTGCTCACACGAGTCTTGGGACCCTTTCGCATCGCCGAGCCGTAGGCGATCTAGCTTTCTTCTACCGCTACACCAACGGGCTCTGCTCCTCAGAGCTCTCCTCCATGATGTCGCCGCGTGATGTGCCTGCCAGACAGACCCGCCTGACTCGTACATCCAGAACTGGCCGATGCGACCGCTCCTTTGTCCCGAAGGTATCGAGATCATGGAACAATCTACAAGAGGAAGCGTTTCCCAGTTCTACTAACCTCGGGCAGTTCAAAAATCGGATTAACAAAGTTTCTTTGGGGTCCTCGTAGAAGCGGCGGTGTCCTGGCATTCAAGCTTCTACCTGCATGGATGCTTTGGTGTAAAAAAGGTTGTTAAGCAAGCAAATACATATTGTGCAAAAGAAAACGCGGTAAGAGCAACGTTTTCGAGATGTTGGATCATGCAAATGATGTTTATTCTATATTTCTAAAATAAGCTCAGGGAACATTGCACCCTAACCCGGTACTTTATTACAAAAACTTTATGTCCCCGATAAGGGAAATGATACTGGCCGCGAGAACGTACGTGCATGTCTTCTTATTGAAAATTGTATGAATATACGATACGACGATGATAATAATATACTAAGTGACATATAAATCCGAACACCCAGTTTAAATGGTTTTATTTTAATAAAATTTTGTATAAGTACTTAATGAAGCATAATAAGTAAATGATAAAAATTTCAAAATGATTGCACTGCTTTAAAGCCCTTTGACCTTTAATAATGTGTGGATGCACCCTGATGTGCTACGCATTCTCCAACGCGCCTAGGCATGCTTCTGATCAGGTGGTCAATGTCCTCCTGTGGTATCTCATTCCAGGCAACCACCAACTCCTCTCGAAGTGCTTCTAGAGTCTGTGGAGGACGTTGCAAATTGAGCAATCTCCTACCCATCATATCCCACACGTGCTCAATTGGGGATAAGTCGGGAGATCTTGGTGGCCATGGTAACAATGTGACATCATTATGTTGAAAGAAGCCTATTGTGACTCTTGCAACATGTGGTCGGGCATTATCTTGTTGGAAAGTTGGATCTGCCAGGGTGTCAAGATAGGGTAAAAGATGGGGTTCTAGAACTTCGTGGATATAACGTTGCGCGTTCATGTTACCTCTGATGAAGATTAAAGGCGACCTGGAACCATAAGCTATAGCACCCCAAACCATAACTGCAACAGTGTGATGAACATGTCTTTCAACAAAAAACTGTGGATTCCTCCTTTCACCACGTCGCCTTCTAACCCTGGCACGACCATCGTGCATGCCTAAACAAAATCGAGACTCGTCACTAAAGACAATACTGTTCCATTCCTGATCGTTTTTTTGCAATTGTGAATGCACGAAATTTAGTTTCTTTTACCTGTTTTTTTTGTAACTTTTATAAAAATGCCATTTTTATTCTCCAATCAAGAGTTAGCGGATATTCATTTTGTGTATGGCTTTGTAAATGGAAACGCAGCAGAAGCAGCCAGAGAATACGCACGAAGATTTCCAAACAGACGACATCCAACTCGCTCAGTATTTGTAAGAGCGCATCGCCAAATAATTGAAGATGGTTTTGGAAATCTCCAAAGGAATGAACACATAAATGTCCGTCAGCGCAGATTTACCCGTATGATTCTGCGTGAGTTTGATAGAGATCCGACCACAAGTGTTAGGAGAGTTTCTGGTGCCTTGGGAATTTCAGCAAGCCATTTTCACCGTGTTCTTAGAAATGACCATAGACGTCCTTACCATTTGCAACCTGTGCAAGGACTACAGCCAGGGGACGGAGAACCAAGAATCACATTTTGTCAGTGGACTCTTGATAGAACTGATAATAATAGGGAGTTTTTAAGTAACGTTTTATGGACCGATGAGTCATGCTTCACTAGACGTGGAGTGGTAAATTTTCATAATCAACATATTTGGTCGCATGAAAATCCGCATGCAGTTCGGGAAAGAAATTTTCAGCATGAATTTAGTGTGAACGTGTAATCGACTATTTGGACCCTACCTTTTGCCTGCAAGGTTAAATGCTGCGACCTTCTTGGAATATTTAAAGGCTGAACATGCAAATATGTGGGATGATGTTATGTTAGATTTAAGGAGATTGGCCAGGTTCCAGCTTGATGGTTGTCCAGCTCATTATTCGAGAATAGTTAGAAACTGGCTGGACGAAAATTATCCAGAAAGATGGTTCGGCCGTGGAGGACCAGTCGCCTGGCCTCCACGATCCCCTGACCTAAATCCATTAGATTTCTTTGTGTGGGGATTTCTAAAAGAAAAAGTGTACCAGACTCCCGTAACCACAAGAGATATGCTAATAGACAGAATCAGGAATGCATGTGATGAAATAAGGCCTTATTTGAATAATGCTATACCACGTTCGATCATTCGTAGAGCCGTTTTACACACAAGAGATTTACTCCCAAAATTATGGTCATAATTATGCCGAAAATCTTTGCTGTCGTATTACACGTAAAAGAATTCGTGTGAAAATTTTCATGGTAAAAATATAAAACCCGTTCTATAGAATATGCGCGAGAATCCTCGCAGAGGGTTATTTCCGTGCATGTCACTATCAAATGTCAAAGTCAACTACATAACCTCACTTAACATTTGTGGGTGTGGTCCTGTTTGAGTCGTACGAAGAAGCGTTTATTGTTATTGTTTATTCATAAATCAAATTCAAGCGGGTAACCAAATGGAAATGGTATTTACCATTTTGGGTTGGTATTTACCAATCCGTTCAAGCGAGTGTAGTTATCAGTTTGGTTATAAGATCCGTGACGTCACGAATCAGCTGTTATATGTCATAGTTATCACCGCAAAATTATGGTATTTACCCAACTCAAGAGTAGTTTTATATTTCTGGTTATTATTTGAAATGTGACAAGTGAGAATTTTGCCGGGTATTGGATATTGTTATTATGCTTCATTTTTGCGAAAAATGATGCAGGGTGACTTCAGTTCTACCATAAAGTGGAGCACCTTATTAGTTATACTCGTTACGGTTGTTGGGGACACTTTAAATGTAGTTCCTATGCTTAACAAAGTATCCTGTGTAGCCATATACCACAAGAATATTAAAATATGGCCATATAAACTCACTAGATGATATCCACCTGTATACTGTTTTGCTAATTTCTTTTTCATCATTTCTGCTGAATCAATAAATGTTTTCTTTGACATGCGGAAAAATTTAGAGAATTGAAAGTTACAAAGCCATGGTTCCATCATTAAAAAAAAAAAAATTAAAAAAAAACATTTCTCCCATGAATATTATGAAGGGTTTCTTATTTAAACGTTCCATATACAGTTGTAGACGAAAAAGCACCGATTATTAAGTGATAATAAAAATATAGATTAAATACGCGCTTTTCTAAAATAAACAACTTGCAACAGAACCGCGGTTAAAACCAACACGTTCAAGCGATTCGTGTAACTGACGTCATTAACCCGTGTGTCATCTTGAACCATATTATAACCGCGGCACATAACACAGAAATTTTGGTTATTCGCTTGGATTGATTATAATGTCGTGGAATCGGGAAGAAGTTACACTGTTGTTGGAGGAGTACCAAAAATGACCAAACCTGTACAAGGTGAAGTCCATTCATTGAGAACTTTATAATATTAACCAAGATCTCGATTTCAAAAATAAATTTAAATCAACGACGTCTATAGTCTTTCCGATTATATTGGACGTCATACCGTTAAGGTTATGTCCATTTGAAATATTACTCTAATGCGCAGGCGTGTCATATGATTTACTCGGAAATTTTGTTTGCTTGTGTCATACAGGTTGTAGAGAAAATCTTCAATATTTTTCCATGCAAATTTCGGCATAATTATGACCATAATTTTCGGAGTAATTCTCTTGTGTGTAAAACGGCTCGTAGATGTGAATTGTGTATTGAACAATTGGGTTTACATTTCGAGCAACTACTTTAGATTTTGTATGTTTGTCCTTACTATCCAATAGCATTTTAGTTGTAAATAATTAATTTAATTTGTTAAAAATAATAATGGAAAATTAAACAAATTAATATTCTGTTTTTTTGTGTTATTTGCAGTTAGGAATTATTGCTGTATTTAAAAACACAATCTAAACGATCATATTAATTACTTGTAATGCCCAAATCGAAAATGTAAAAAAAATATTATTTTCCCATAAATAATTAAAAATCATGGAACCCTAAAAATCGAAATATCTCGAAAACGGCTGACTATAACGAAAACTCACAGGAGAGGTTTTTTATGTTGAAAAGTGCGAAGAATCGGTTTTTTTATTCAAAAAGCAAAAATTGCATTAAGAAAAATTTTTCGGTCATTTAATACACTACAGGTACAGTAGAGAGCGCCCTCTAGCGGCTACAGTAAAACTATGCCCATGGTTCGTTTTGTCGTACCAAAGAACCTCGTACACCAATTTTCACTGTTATACATCAAATATTATATAAAAAACTATTTTAGAAAGTAAATTTAAACACCCTGTAATTCGGCAGCCACGCATTTTTCGACCCATGTTTATATAGACTTTATGCATTAATTTTAAACGTTCCATCGAATCTTAAGTTATGCACCAATAAACTGAAACACCCTGTATGAAAGTGTATCCTGGGAACAAGTGCCCAGATGAGGAATGGAATGTACAACATAAACAGGCTCAAGGGCCATCGTGTCGAGTGACACTAACCAGACTCGTGAACCTCTGAAAGGTTTCCTCTGCTACGGTGTTGAACTCGTATGCAAAATATGTTTGATATACTTACATTAACTACATAAATTAGCACTAATCCGTAGACTTTTTATTCATAAAATTTGTTATTCAGATGTGTGATAAACTTAGCACAATTAGAGCGGGAGCGAACGCACAGTATCTGGCAAGAACTGGAAGACGGCGCTGGTTCGTTGCACCTTTTGCTAACCATAAGTGGTTACCACTGCCTCAGAAACCATATCGGATCTCACTACGTACGAGGAAAACATAAGGGAGCGACAGATGGTCGCTGATAGATACGTAAGTATACGCAATATAAGAATAAATTATTTGGGGGTTATAGGAAGATTCAACTCATCCCCATATACAGCTGCTTTCCTCCAAATATCGCCGCGCTTGATCTCTTGGCTTAACTGATTATTTTGAGCAATTCGTTGATTACTTTGATAATGAATAATACAGAGTGCTCCAAAAAATCGGATGCAAATTAAATTATAAGTAATGTTGAAAATCAATGTCTACTTTCTATATCAAAAGTGGCGAGGAAATACACGTACTGTAATCGCAAAAAATTTCAAATTGAGATACTATGTTTTTTGGATGTTATCTGACATGCACATAGGGTGTCCCAGGGCAATCAAAATATTTTTTGAATTGAGATAAGCACACCCTCTAATTTTTCCCCATTTGTCTGACATTGAAAAAATATATATTAGTTAATAGGGATGTCCAAACCTAATTCGTATTCGACAAATAAAACACTGCTTTATCTGTATCTTATATTTTCTTAGATACCCATCATTAAAATAAATAATATTTAAAAAAACAACGCTTTTATAGCTAACCGAACTAGAAAGTAGAAAATAATTTTTGATTACAAAGAGTTTTATTACAGTAGTAGATGGTCGAACAATCACTCATAACACTGATCAACAGCCAAAAATATCCTAAATAAATCAACAAAATATTACTATTTTTAATGTGCTAAAACCGGAATGAAACTTATTTTTCAATATTAGTTCAAGTTTTAGAGATTCGGTAATTATATGTGTTCCTGCTGTGACAGTGTTAATATACTGTAATTCACAAGAATGCACGTGCTACATTTTATATTCGGCAAGCAAAGATGATGTAATCGGCATGATTGTGTTACGTTGTACATACGTGTACATTATATTGTTTTATATTAGCCATTTTTTCCACAGTTGGCTGACAGCGTTCATGCAAGATGTCTCGAAAGTGTGTAAACAATCCAGATCAGTTTTGTTACGTGTGTGGTGATGTGACTTTTGCGTCTCAGAGACGGTCTATTACTCCACTAATAACAAAGGCATATCAGCTTTATTTCGGTTGTAAACTAGGTGATCAAGACAAACAGTGGGCACCCCACATCTGCTGTAATACATGTGCTTCAAGTCTGAGGAGCTGGATAAATGGCAAAAAACGGTCTATGCGCTTTGCTGTCCCAATGGTTTGGAGAGAGCCTACAAATCATATTAATGATTGTTAATTTTGCATGGTACCTTGTGTTGGATTAGCCACAGGTATGTCCAAGAAAAAAAAAATCGGTTATTAACTACCCAAACATACCATCTGCGATGAGACCTGTGCCTCACAGTGACGAAAATCCTATTCCAAAACCCCCAGAATCCTACACTTGCGAGTCAGAAAACGAATCAGATTATGGCGATCGAGTGATTCGTCAGGAAGAAGATATGCCATCAACGTCAAGAGATCCTGATTTTATAACCGAGCACGTCATGCTACCAACCGCACAAAATAACACAGTCAGAATTAAATGACCTTGTAAGAGATTTAGAACTTCCAAAATGTAAGGCAGAGTTACTTGGATCAAAACTGCAGCAGTGGAACTTGGGTAGAAGACGATGTTTCGGTATGTGTTTTTTCGTAAACGCCACAAAGACTTAGAACCATTTTCAATATGGGAGAATAACTTGGTTTCTGCAGTAACATTAACGGCTTACTGGCGGCTTTAAATATAAAACTATACCCAGAAGAATGGAGATTGTTTATAGACAGTTCAACATTGAGTTTAAAGGCAGTGTGTATTGCATATTGGAAATATTTTACCAGCTCTTCCTGTAGGGTATGCAGTTCACATGAAATAATCATATGACAATATGAAGTACCTATTGACATGCATAAATACGATGAGCACCAATGGCATATTTTGTGGCGATTTGAAAGTTGTTGCACTTTTACTTGGGCTGCAGCTAGGCTACACAAGTGTTGCTGTTTTTTGTGTGAATGGGACAGTCGGGCAAAGGCACTTCATTACACCAGACAAAACTGGCCTGTTCGTCCAATTCTAGAGCCAGGTCAAAAAAATGTACAGCATATGCTATTAGTAGATTCGAAAAAAAATTTATTACCACCACTGCATATCAGTTGGGCCTAATGAAAAACTTTTGTCAAGGCATTAGATAGAGATGGGTCAGCTTTTCAATACCCGCGTCAGAAATTTCCAAGACTAAGTGAGGCAAAGGTTAAAGAAGGTATTTTTGTTGGGCCACAGATTCGAAATATTTGAAAGATACACAGATTGAAAACACTTTAACAGGTATTGAAGAAACTGCTTGGAATGATTTTCGTCTGGTGGTCACTAATTTCTTGGGAATAGAAAGCTGACAACTATAACACCCTTGTCAAAAATATGCTGTCATCGTATCAAAAGATGGGCTGTAATACGGTCTCTTAAGATACATTTCCTACACTCACACCTGGACTTTTTTCCTGACAATTGCGGAGCCGTAAGTGATGAGCACGGCGAACGTTTTCATCAGGATATTTCATCAATGGAAAAAAGGTACCAGGGAAAGTGGAATCCTTCCATGCTTGCAGACTACTGTTGGACTCTTGGTAGAGATGCTCCAGAAACGATCCATAAAAGAACAGCAAAAAGACAGCGCATATAGTGATTCTTATAAGTATATGAATCTTGTTACTTTTTTTAATATATCCTTAAAAATAAATTTTTTTTTCTAAACCGCAACTAATTTTTTTATTTCATTGACATTTTTGGATTCAGCGCCCCAAAATTAACAAAGATGTGCACTTTTCCCACAAGATACAATTAAAAAACTAAAATTTGTTGTCCAGTGAATTAATGACCTCAAAATAAAATTATACCAAAATTTAAGATATTAACAGAATAATTCAATTAAGATTAGAAAACGTGGGGTGCCGATATATTAATGTCCTATCGACGTTGTTCAAACACACCTTGTGTTTTTTTGCTTTGCAAATCTCTCCAAACTTGGTATAAAGTAACTAATTTCTTAAGTCATTCAGAGATTTGGCCGATATACGTGCCTTTTCCCAGTAAATAATGGACTTACGAATAGTAAGGTTTGTCACGCCTTTTTTTTATAAACAAGAGGAAATGGTGGTGTGATTCCTCTTTCCTTTTCTTCTTCTTAATTAATTAATGGACTCATAAATAAAACACTATAAATGAAATCTAAGGGTCAGCCAATGCAAGTGGCGTGCAAGTTTAGGCAGTAGCTCAATAAAGCGGAGAGTAGGGGGGGTTAAGAGGGCCAGGGACTCAAGACGGATTAAGCCACAAGATGCTAGTCGGAACTTGTTTTGCTTGACCACCATACAAAAGAAAAGAATCTCACAGTAATGACAAAACCTAATTAATTGTACACAGACAGCCAAATAAAACAAAATATTTAAAAATAATCACAATATAAATGTCCAATAGGGACGCAGGAAAGTAAACGTCAATTTGACATAGACGCCATCTTTGTTTTCTGTCACCGACATGTCATTTTGTTAGTTGAATGTTTACCATTGATCGCTATGGAGTCGTATTCGATTGAAGACCGCATTAAAGTTATTCAAGAACACCACAAAAATGGTGCAAAAATACAAAACACGTTTCGCGCGCTTCGTGAACATTTCGGTCGCAACAACCGCCCAAACGAAACAATCATCGGTCGTCTGGTGCGTAAATCCGAGGCAACAGGTTCTGTGGCAAATCTGCCAGACTCTGGCCGGCCAAGGAGCGTTCGCACACCGGAAAATATTGCTGTTGTGAAGGAGAGTGTGAGAGACGATCCGAAACAATCAACAACGCGTCGATCCCAAGAATTGGGCATTTCGAGAACCAGTTTGCTCCGCATTCTCCACAAGGATTTGAATGTACACGATTACAAGATCCAATTGACGCAAGAGCTGCGTCGGGCCGACCATTTTTCGCGCCGAACGTTCTCAGATTGGCTCCTTGAACACCGCCAAATTGATGCCAATTTCTCATCAAAAATCATGTTCAGCGACGAAGCGCATTTCACTTTGAATGGGACGGTAAACAAGCAAAACTGCCGCATCTGGGCGAACGAAAATCCCCGTGAGTATCAAGAGCAGCCGATGCATCCTCAAAAAGTGACTGTGTGGTGTGCATTGTGGTCAAAAGTCATCATCGGACCTTACTTTTTCGAAAATGCGGCCGGGGACGCCGTTACCGTCAATTCTGAGCGACATCACGTGATGATAGAGGAC